CCAGCTGGAATATCTGGCACCTTTTTTCCATGTAGGGCTGTAATTAGTGTTGAATGATCCTAAGATGATTTTGCTACCATGTAGAATTATTTGTAATTACAGTTTGTACATTCTTTAAGTCACCTCTGTTTTGGTGTTGGAATGTAGATTGACCTCTTCCGATATGTTTGCCACTGTTTCATTCTTCAGATTCACTGGCATAGTTTAGTTAGAAATTTGATTTATTACTTGAGCTTATACACTACTTGTCAGATTCATAAATTATATATATTTTAAAAACATCTAAAGGGACAGGTTACAGATAGATAATCCAGAGCATGTGGGGAGACCTGGCCCATAGAATCACTAAGAGTTGGACACTACTGAACAGATAACATCATCATCAATCCAGGAGTCTATCTGTGTTGTTGCTAAGAGCTAACTTGATGGCACATAATTATTTAAAACATCTTTTAAGCATTATTGTATATATTGATCTTCCCATCTTCACTGATCAATAGACATCAATAGGGGAAGTCATTTGACAATCTGGAGTTTGGTCTCATGAATATGCTAATGATATTCTCTTATTCATCTCAATCCAAGGCTATCTTTGGAGAAATACTGAAAATCTTGTCTCAAAGTCTAGAGGCTGTAGGGGAGAAACAGGTTAAGATATAACTCTAGTAGGATGGGGTACCTATGGATTTAGAGGTCAGTAGACTCTGAGACAAAACCACCTCTATACAGAGTTATGCTCCTTGGGCTAAGTTATAATCCTTTGCCCTACATAGTGGTTGTTGCAGTTCTTACATTGTATGTTTTAGATGACTCCTGTTTTTTCTTCTGGGGTTGCTGGGTCTTTTGATTTGTCCTAAGCCAGTGGTTCTCAACCTGTGGGTCGGGACCCCATTTGGGGTCGATCAACCATTTCACGGGGGTCGCCAAGCAAGGCTGTCCGCCATTTTTTTGTCCACATTTTTTTGTCCGCCATTTTTTTCCCCTTTTCCGGCGGGTGCCTTACCTCCCTTGGGCTGGGCCAGCTGGTGGGCGGCCTGCTCCGTCTCTGCCGCTTGCCAGCTACGCCTCGGCCGGCGCAGGGGGTGGAACCACGCATGTGCGGCGCTCCCAGGCAGGGAAAGTCCTCGACTTACGTCCAGTTGGGTAGTCCTCGACTTACGACTGGTTTAGTCCTCGACTTACGACCGGTTTAGTCCTCGACTTACGACCGGTTTAGTCCTCGACTTACGACCGGTTGGGGTCGCGGCATTAAAAAGGTTGAGAACCACTGTCCTAAGCAAACCAAGCAAACAAACATCCTATGCAAACCAAAAGACCCAGAAACCCCAGAAGAAAAAAAACAGGAGTCATCTACAACATGCAATGTCAGAACTGCAGCAACCAGTATGTAGAACAAACAGGCAGAAAGGTGGCAGAACGCATCCATAAACACCAACTGGCAGTCAAAGGCATGACAAAAATTATTTAATTACACAATATACAGTATAGGCAGATTTAACCATAGTTTCAGTTGGGAAAATGTGACAATCCTAGACCAGGCCAAATCCAAAAATGCCAGGGAATTTCAAGAAGCCTGGCACTCTGACAAATCGGCCATCAATAGACACATAGACATTAACTATGCAAAAGAGACAATCAACCAGCCCCAAAGAGAAAAAAGTCTCCAGCATCTCTCTATCAGTAATCAGCACTCAGATCAGCATAGATCAGTGATGGCGAACCTTTTAGAGACCGAGTGCCCCAAAACTGGCTCTGCCCCCCCATCCCCCGCCCCGCCTGCCCACAGGACCACTCACCGCCTCCAGGGCCCGCCACAGATCGCCCAGGCAGCCCAGCAGCGCTATGGCGGCCACACCCTCTACCCGCACCCTGCAGCATCAACTGCATGATGGGGTGTGAGGGCAGAGTCTTGTCTACGCTGCCTGGCTGCCATGTCCTTGGCTGCGCTGCTCCGTGTGGGCCACCCTCGAGGGCAACTCTCCTTCAGGGGGGCTTCTGGAGAGGAGGGGGTCGCGGAGCGAGGCAAGGCTGGGGCAACGGCACGTGTGCCCACAGAGAGGGCTCCAAATGCCACCTCTGGCACCCGTGCCGTAGGTTCGCCACCACTGGCATAGATTAACTCCAAGGTCAACTTCAGACCAAAAATCAAGTAAGCAATACCCCAATCAAGAAACTGGCACAGAGCCATTAGTAAACAGCTCAGCCAAAGAATCCCTAAGACCGCCCCCCACCCACTCAGACAGGCAAGACACCAGAATATAAACTGACAGCAAACTCTACTCCTTACTAGCATTGATGATATTACCTGGATCAGAGGTCCCCAACCTTTTGGGCACCAGGGACTGGTTCCATGGAGAGAGGTTTTTTCCGCAGACCGGAGTGGGCATGGTTTTGTGTGTTGCCTGCACCCCATGGATGGGGCTTTGCTAGCTTGTGCAGACTGGTTGCTGGCATGCCACAGCCCGGTACCGGTCCATGGACCAAGGGTCGGGGACCCCTGACCTAGATAGGGTAATGAAACATCTGCAAGAAAACAAGCAAGCTCAAAGACCCCTCATTTCAACCCTGAGCTACAAATATTCTCCTTCATTAGTTGTACATAAACAATATGACTGATAATTGATCACCTGCATGGCCAGGGCTGGGTTAGAGTGACCTTTGGTATTAAACATCTCATCAAATTTTTCTCTCACCTCTTTAGTAATTAATTTTATCTCAAACATCCATAGACAATCACATTCCTGGGCTTCTTGATTGAGGTGTCAGAAGGTATCTTAATAAGTAGAGATATATAAAGGCTGATGGTAGCAGAACAACAAAGAGAAAGAAGGAACAATATCTCAGAAGAAACCAAGGAACTGATAGAGAAGACGTTTCTCCCCAAAGGTGATACAGCAGGCATCCAAAATTAGAGAGTGAGAAGGCAGAATAATGTTGCAACAACTTTTATTTTGGATCATTAAGATTCCATACACGATTCTTAGCTTTTTGAAAAAGTTCTGCTTACGCGAACGCAAACGCTATCCACCAGGACCTTTTCGGCTTCCTTTCATAGGAAGTCTGTGGCGGCTTGGGATTCGTTTGTCGGAGAAGACTTTCAGAAAGGTATGTTTTTTTCTAAATACTTGCTCCATCAAGAAGCAGAGGAGAAGGAGGTGCAAAGCTTTAGAAAGAAAGAATTATTTCCATAGATTCCATGTAGATACTACCTTTCTATAATAAAGTACTAAAGGTACCAATGAGTCATAAGAAAAATCATATAGAAAAGAATCGGAACCAATCGGTTCAATACTTATCCATTTCAAAAAGGCTGTCTAAAATGAAAGATTGAATGTTAGAAAACAGCACGATGAAGAGAATGCATGATGGCATAATTAGAGAAGAGATGGACTAGTCTTCACTGGGCATGTTCCTAGCAGAATTATAGAGAGCTGTCTGTCTGGTATATCTGGATTCTACACTCTGCAGAGGACTGGATTCAGGAGCTGATCTGACACAGTTTATGAAAGAGTGGATTTCATAGGCTGGGCTTTCCCTGATATCTGAAAAAATAAAATTATTCAGAAAGGGAGTCTTATTCCTAGCACTGAGAGGAGTTTGAGAATGGAACCGAGGGAGATGGTGACCTTTCTAGTGGATATTCTTGGAGCAGCTATTGGGGATATTGAAATTATTTTTCTTGGATTAAGTAGGGAATGAGATGTGATGCCCTCACTTTCCAACTTCACATGGCTGAGTCTGCATAATGTGCTATGTTATCCTTCCCTCAAATAAATAATTGAATGGGCAGACTTCTCATGAAAATGGCTAAGTTTTTCCTTTTTTCCCCTTTTTATTTTGCTGTTATAAATCTTTATAACAAGATAATGATGAAATGTGAGTAATATAATATAGTGTAATGTTATTAGAATAGACTAGAATAGAATAGAATAGAATAGAATAGAATAGAATAGAATAGAATAGAATAGAATAGAATTCCTCAGCCAGCCTCCATTTTGTTTGTTAGATTTAAGACAGGGGTCTTCAAACTTGGCCCTTTTATGACTTGTGGACTTCAAATCCCAGAATTCCTCAGCCAGCACCACTGGCTGAGGAACTCTGGGAGTTGAAGTCCACAAGGCATAAAAGGGCCAAGTTTGAAGACCCCTGGTCTAGGTTATATCATATTGATTGAGATTGTTTTAATTTATATACAGTATATTTAATTACAACCCTAATGGTGTTGGATTGTAGAGAGTTCTCTATGAAAATCATCCTTCATGTTCAAATATTTGTGTCTGAATACAGCTTTGTTCTGGATTCATTTGCCATTCCAGTAACAACAGCATTGCTAAGTTATAAGCTGCCAGCCCCATTTTATCTTTGTCTAAAAACTTATGCAAATCCAGCCATGGTGCCAATAGCAGCTATTCTATTAATTTAAAATTCATGATTTGAATAAAGAAATTGAAATATAGTTTTTTTAACAAAAAATAGATGATGATGATGAAGGTGATGATCTGCTTTTGTGAACTGAAGCTTCTTTATAAGAGATAAAAATGTATTATTTACAGTAAGAGAAAATAAAATATATTTACTGGTAATGTTCACTATAATACCCCTTTGTAGTGAAGGACTGTATTTACACCATATGGTTAACTACAATAGTTAAAATCCTAAGAAGTGTATTCACAAAACTTTCTTTAGATTGTTGCTGTTATTGTTTTGATTTAGTATGTTTTCATAAATCCAACTGTAAGAAAATGAGGCAATTCAGTAAGCAGAATAAATGTTTGGGGTCAATGTAGTCAAAGTGTAGCTACACCAGGCACTGTACATTTAGAGAGAAAAATGTTATTTTTCCTTCCATCACCACCATTCCCAACTTTCTCTCCAATCACTTTTCACATGCGGTGACTTGATAGATAACCTTGGGGAAATGTAGACTTTAAGAAGGGAAGGAGGGAAGGGAGGGAAGTTTTTCAGCTATGTTTACAGAGACTGAATATGGTTTTACTGATTTTACACAATGTAGCAATACTCTTGTTACTGCAGGATTTCTTAAAATAGTAATTAAATCTTAAAATGGTAGATAAACAGGTCTCTGGACTTACTCTCCAAAGGTGCTTCAAAATATCCTGTACATTCATAGGAAATCAAACCCAAAGTGTTGTACAACTGAAATAAATAGTAGTTAAAGTGCTGGTCCAAAAGTTGAGAAACCAGAAGTTCCAGCCCTTCCTTAGGCACAGAGGACATCTGATGACTTTGCACCAATCACTTTCTGTCTTGTCCAAACTTAGCTTACGTGCTTATTGTGATAAAAACATTGGTTTGAATTGTACACAATAAAAGTGGGGTGTACATTAATCAAACGAATGCATTGGCTCAGAATTTTATCTGACTACACTGCTCTTTTATACTATCATTCTATTGGACCCAATACATGGGTTTTGATTGATATGCTACGGCAGTAGAACTAAAAGCATCTCTTCCTGAGAATAAATGATGTGATTTGATTTGTTTTTGCCACAGATAATGCAAGAGGCTCTCCTATATTCCAAGTTTTAAGGGATCTGGCAATAGCAATAGAAATGCCGGATATTATGTTTTCTTAGGAGCTTATTAAAGGGATTGATATCTTTGTAAGATCATCAGTGGCCTGACTTCTGGGCCAATCAGATTTTAGGGCAGTTTTTAAAAGCAGGATTTTAAAGAGAGGCTTAAAAGATCATTAGGTTTTATCACCTGTGACTTCACCACCACCACCAACTACAACAGCAGCAGCAACAGAGACTACACATATATATTAATCAGTTCATTTCATTTTGTGCATTGCCACTATTATTAAGATAATAACCATTCTTATATCACATGTATTCCACATACTGCTGATATCCTTGTTTACAATTCTTCTATTTCCTCAACAATTGGTTCACTATCTCAGAAAACTATTCCATGCATCTAGTGAAGCAAGTTATAATCTCTGACAAATTATGCTACAATGGTTGTGGGAGACATTTATAGATTTTGACTGTTAATAGAGACCAAAGCTTTATGCAGCAGCAGGATCTGTTATAAAGTAAAATTGTGTAATTAGCAGTAATATCTGTTTTAAAAAATCTGACAACTTGATATTTTAGTGCACAGATCCCAACCATTATAGAGAATGGGCAAAAGTGGAATCTGAACTTCCTGAGCTACATATTAAATCAGCTTGCTTAACCAATTTACCATCCTAGGTGATTAACAAATAAATACAACGAAGAGAACCAGCCAAATAATTTCTCAATATCCATCCAAAGTAACTGTCTTAAAAAATAAAAAATAAGTAAAAAAAATAAAAGTAAAAATATAATTAAGCAAACTGATAAATAGCCAAAACATGACCCCCCAATTGAGTGCTGAGCCCCCAGTGACGGGGGGGGGGAACTATTTCCAATGGCTTCCAGATCGGCAGGGATGATGGAGCTGCCTCCAGTTCCCACTTCATGGACTGTGGCACACAGAATAACCCCTCAAGTGAAAAGTACATACAGACATGCACACACAAACTCATGAGAGCTTTCGGGTTTACAGGATTTTATTCAAAATGCAGCAACCTCACTTCTTGTGATTGTTTTTTGTTGTTGTTGTTGTTTTGCTATTTCTTAACCCAGCAAAACAAAACAGGTTTTCCATCCAGGCAGAGCTTTCATCAAGTTATCTTAACTAAACATGCCACATTCCTTTCTCTCTTTTCTCCCTTCTTTCTTACTGATAAATAGCCACAAAGCACCAATTAAAAACATAAAACAACATTGAACCAACAAGTAATATAGTTCACTGGTGGGATTCAAATATGTTAACAACCAGTTCTCTGTGTGGATGTCGCTTCCGGAAGTCCATTCTGGGCCTGGGCAACAAAATATTAGCCACCGGTTCTGCCGAAGTGGTGCGAAATGGCTGAATCCCACCACTGATATAGTTGTCAGAAATTGTAAAGCAATATTTCTTTTCGACAATCAAAGCAAGGATCCCTTTTTCTGGAAAAGTCTATCTTTTCATGTATGCAATCTAGAACATTGGCTAAATCTGAACCAATTTGTACTTCTATTCTGTATTCCTAGTTTGTACTTAGAAATAAATAAAGAGCATAATTGCATGGGTTGACCTTTTCCCCCTTTGGGCTGCAAGTTGTTTTCTCTGGTTGGCTGGATATGATGTCCCTCTGTTTCTTGGCTTCCCAGAAATAGGACAGGATATATTTGTCCCATGTGGTCTTTGGACTCTCTTTTCACAATCAACTCAAAGGTTTTGTCTTAGCCCATCCTAGAAATAGTAACAGTCAACAGCCAATTTTGTTTAGAAGCCATACTGTCTGCCATCTAAAGCACTGACATTGCTTCTCCTTCTTTCCATATAACTTTTATTTACATCACCAGATTTCTCCTCCTTCTCAGCTCACCCTTTTTTCTTAGGGTATAGGGTACAAAAACGTGTTATCTCCCCCATGTTAGAAAGAACAATAAATCTATCTGGATGTATATGTGATCAGTTAACCTAGAGCCATTGGTAATTGTATGTTATCACACATACATATACAAATAACACGAAAAACTAATGTGGACCCTAAAAACAGATGTCCTTAGAATACAAACAAAGGTCCATTATCTCTTATTACAGATTGGGGTAGTTGAATGTGATGCATCTATTTATATTTTCTAATACTAAAACTAGAACTGTTGTCATCTTTCTGTTGTACTTTCTCCCACTTCTGGAGTAATAAACAACTTACCAACAACTTTTGTCTTCTCTGGAACAATTATAAATTATGAGCTCTCTGATAGTCTATTAGTCAAGGATTATCCAGGGCTAGGATAGGAATGAACCCAGCAAATATTAAAGAGTTTTGCAGTACTGTGGTTGGGATGGGTCTAGGACAGTGGTGGCGAATCTATGGCACACGTGCCAGAGGCGGCACGCGGAGCCCTCTCTGTGGGCACGCGCCATCGCCCCAGCACATGTGGTCTCTAAAGGTTTGCCATCACTGGCCTAAGGCCAGCCAGCCTGGAGCCACCATTGGGGAGCCCACCATCCCACCCGCCAGAGATCCCCTGGATCTCCCCCAACCCTGCCTGGCTCCC